GATTTAAAATACTCATTAAACTAAGTATATAAGTAATAAAGGTTGATAAACAATAATAATTACATGCCAAATGTGGCTTGGAACTTTAGTTTTTTACGTAGGCATGTTGCATTATACACAAACATTATGTTGGTCAGTTTTGATGTTCCATTTTTGTTTTTCTTTTTTCCTTGGGAGAGAGTGTTTTGGTAGCTCATGCTGAAAGGTATTACCTTTATCTTAATCTAAAGCATATGTGTCTTGTTTTAATCGAGAGTATGCCCAAATTTTGCCTTTTCTCCTTTAGTGTCTTTTTTCTTTCTCCAAAAATTATTTTATAGCCAAAACTTGATTGCTTTCTAATGTGGACTTCTAAATTTTCTTCTTTCTTTTTATATGGTTTCATCAGTATCAAAAGAGTTAGATATTTCTAGCTAAATGTCAGCAAAGGAGGAGTTGCGAGGGAGTCCTAATCTTTTTGTATATAATAGGAGTGCATCTACAATAAATTATATTGGGCTTCGAGGTTATCCAGTATCAGAGTAAGATTCTTGTGAAGGTGTACCATATTCCCGTGTTGAGTTGACAAATGTTGATGATAAGTGGGGCTGGGGGGCTAGAAAAAGATCTACAAGTTTAGGCACCATGAAGGATAGATTATTATATCTTCTGAAGCGATTTCACGCTCCAAAAGATGGACGGAAAAATGTTTTTATAAGTATGATTTTAGTGAAAAAGTATTTGAAGTTTGAGTATCCCGGTATGGATATCAACAAAGTCTTTGCCTCATTCAGATGGGTGATTCCTTCTAAGCACTCACAGGTCTCAAAAGTGTATCTTCGACACGGGTCATTGGTATATATCATGTAGAGATATATTCGGCTGTTTGCATCTATTAAAAAAGATCTTCATTCTTTTATGTACGTAATTGATTTTGATTAAGAAATGAAGGATAGGACTACATCTCTAGTGACCACATGCACCCTATGTTGTTAGCTTCTCCTATCAAAGCCAATACTTATAAGGATGGTCACGTATGTTGTAGAATTTTTATAATTAGTGAGGTTGAGCTTGATAAACCTGAAGCTAAATTTGACACTTCTCCTACATTCCTCAGGCATGCTTGAATTTTGTTGTAATTTTGATTGTGTTTTTATTATTCTTGCTCTTGTATAAACTTCCTCTTTTCCAAGAGGAGAAGTTAATAACTACTAGAGAGAGAGTAGGATTAGATAGAGAAGGTGGTAGTGGTAAACCTTCCCTTCCTGTTCGCGATCCACCTGCATAAACTCATGGGCTTGAGCTAGCACCAAATAGAAGAGCTATGGTATTTATGTCGAGGGCTCGTCAAACACTACCTCTCCCTCTTTGTCCTCCTATAACCCTTTACATGGACGGAGTTCCTCAGTACAACTCCAGAAAACAAGTAGGTCATATATATTAAGTTACCATATATATTAACTCCCTTCCAGTGAAGCTTTAAAGAATTTACAAATTTGTTACTTCTCTTATTCATATCGAAAAGATGTTGAATGTTGGCATATGTATTTTGTGTGGCTCACAAAAAAAGAACGAAAAAGAGTTGTTGCATCTTATTGTATGTATTTAGGAAAATTTATAGCAAATTAATAAATTATACTTTGTTTCCTTGTGATGCAATCTTTTTCCAATATGAGGTTTACAATTACAAGAATGACCGATTTGATAATTATATCAGCTTACGAAAAGAATCTGCATTCAAGATGCATTCAAAAGGAAAGTTGTATGAATCACATCGGTAACTTCTTTGCCTTGTCATTATCTTATTTGGTTGATGTGTCACTTTGACATGAACATATGTACCTAAGCAAGTTATTTTAGTATGTGAAATTTTGGTTATCTTTCTTTAACTATTGTTTCTTTTAGAATACAAATAAATATATTTGTACATTGTAAGTTTCATCTATTTCGGTGATTCCTATGGTCCAGAAATACCAAAAATACTTGTTGCAACTAAACAAAATATTCTTTCTTCATTCTTGTATGTGTGCTTTCCTTGTTGTATGTTACTTCCTCTTGTTGTTTTTATCTTTATGCGAGTCAATCTCCTTGATTCTTGTAGTGTGTGATTTACATGTTTAGATTTAAGCCTTCTTTTCATAGATTTTGAATATCTCATTTTTATTTTTATTTTGCATTGGACATTTAGAATTAGTGTCATCATCCAAACATAATAAGCTAAAGAATCAAATAGTATGTCTTATTGGTTCTCTAACTTTAGCAATACAACTAAGATTTATTGGAGGGTATCTTTAAGGCAGATATATCTAGATGTTTCTATTATTATTCTTGTGATTATTCTTGTAGGTCTTGATTAGAAACCAAATTTACTAATGATGATTTCAATATATATTGTATCTTTCATATTTTTAGAATCATGGTTTAGTGCTCAATTTGTTATTCTTAACTAATCTTGTGGCAGTTTATACCCTATACTATTTCTAATGTCATGTAGGAATCTTTTAATCTTCCTTTTTAACGATGGCTTTCATGAAGGTTTTTTCTGGATTATTAAAACTAATTTTGATATCTTGAAAGCTCACAACATATGTCAGAAGCAAAAGACACCCAATGATTCCAATTTGTCTAAATGTTTATTACAAAATCACCCTATGGTGATGGGAGGTAAAAAAACAACAATGGAATGTGCATGCTCGTCCAGACACTATCGTCATAAAAATGATTTGGTATATTTCTACATGCCACTGATTTTAACCTTGGGCTCCAAATATCTTGTTTAGGTTGCTATTGTAGCAAGAATATTTTATTTTCCTATGTACCAAGAAGCAACTGTTGAAATATGGTTTTGCACCTCCATAAAGTAAACTTTATAAAATTATATGTTAAAATTTTTAACCTTTTGTCTCAAATTAAAAATATTTTTATGCTTCATCCCTCTTTCGACCTTTAATATTTTCTAACGTTAACCATTTGGTTCAATAATATCCTTGATGAAATCCTTTGGTTCATATTTTTCTTATTTTGACAAATTGTCTTAAGTAAAATTGTTAAATATTTTATTATTATGTTGCGAAATCTTATTGGTCTTAATTCAAATCCTTCTCCAATAAATAACCAAAACTATGTATGATTTATATGTTGATCCAATAAGCTTGAAACTAATATTTAAAATATTAATTTCATGATACTTTTTGCATTGACATATTTTAAATCAACCCTTAATTTACTACCAAATTCATTTTGAAGATCTAACGAAAATTGATACTGGTTTTCTTTGACCGTCAATTTAAAAAGCGATGAATATTTGTTTATTAATATTTTTCTATCAGTTATCCAATTCTCATTTTTATTTTCCTCGTTGTATTCTTTTTTTATCTCTTATTATGAATTAATAAATATATGAAGGATTAACCTTGAAGTGAACTTACATGTTCATATTGCTTGAATTTGTATATTTTCATGTTTGGTTGGAATAGGAAAAAAGGTTATTTTCATTCTTTTATTTTGAATTCTTGAACAGCCAAAATAAAAATTATAGTCTACGTACAGAGTCACTTAATTAAAATCATCTTTTATTGAACTAACCATTTAAAATAAGTAAAAATAACTTAAATACACAACTATAATTTTTATATTCTCTAATTTTCCCTACTTTTTTTAAATATTACATAATTCCCTATTTTTTTTATTTTAGTATAAGTTTTTAGATACATTACACTCTCTCTCCTATAATACACATTTACCAATTTTAATGCCTATTTTTTCTCCGTTAAAACACTCAACCTCTTAAATCAGTTTTTGAATTTTAAATTTTTTCCATTTAAACACTCAACCTTTTAATCATCTTTTTAATTTTGAATTATTAAATTTAATTAAATTTAAATAAAAGAACAAATTTTGAAATTTTGAATTTCAAAATTCAAAAAACATAGAAGCAGGGTTCCACTGCATTCTACCGTTCTTACCAAAGTCATGTTGCACTTCTTTTTTTTTCCTTAATCGTCTTCATCCCTTCATAAATTTGAATCTTCTCAACCCAGCAGATTTTTCTATTTTCTTCTTTTTATTCTTAATCCATATTTGACTATTTCTTCCTAATATTGAATCGTAAGAACCCAGACCCTTTTTATAGTTAATCCATCATCAATTCATATATTCTTCTCTTTTTCGTTTTTGTTAATTGTTCTATTACTTCATAGTAATGGATCCGTCAATCAATAGAAGGATATATGATTCCGATGATGATAATTGGAAAGAAAATAGGAAAAAGTCTTTGCATGATCCTATGAATCTTCAAAAGGATTCAAACAAAGACCATGGCGAAACATCAAAGGTTGTAAAAATACAACCAAAAAGGAAAAAAGAAGCAGCAAACACTGTTGTTAGGCCTACATTGTCTCGGGTTAGTATATTGGTACTTAAAAATGGTGTTGTTTAAATTAGTAAAATTTTTAAGGAATCAAGTGTGCTTGCTGATACATTTTTAAAAGGGTGTATAGTGTTTTAGATGGTCAACTGATACGTGAATTTTTTGTGTTTCATAATATTTTATATGTATCATTAGGTTTTTGAAAATTATTATAATGTATTATTCAATAAGTGTAGTAAAGTATAATCTGTGCTTGATGATACATGTTGAATCTGTGTGTACATTGTTTAGTGAATGTAATGATACATGTAGTAGCTATGTATCACATGTTCTGCATGTAGTATGAATTCCTGTATGATATCATGTATCAATAAGGTATTAGTTGTTTAGTTGATTTACTCATACATGTTTTGAAACTTGTTATAATGTATCATTCATTAAGTTTAATAAATGCTTAATCAGATATAGTTGATGATACATATAGATTCTTTGTGTATGTTGTTTAGTCGCTGTTTATGATACATGTATTAGACATGTATCACATGTTATAATGTTTTATTTAATTCAATGATACATGTTATAGACATGTATCACATGTTTTTCATATAGTATGAAATTCTGAAAAGTGAAACCATGTATCATTAAGTTATTAGTTGTTTTATTTAGTAGTTATATTTCTATATCGTTTTAATTTGCGGTTTTATTTTCAAATTGCAGCCACTGAAGTACAAGATTAAAAAGATACCAACACATCCCATAAGGTTTGCTGTCAACTTTAACAACAATTTCCTAAAGGACTTTGAAAAATACGTGGGGGATAATGTTATCCAAATGTTTAAGGATACAATTTTTGGACCCTTTTTAGACATATCTAAATGTAATTTTCAGGGCCAAATAACTAAGTGCTTATTGCTTTTAGAATTGGAACAAAGCAACCCTAATATGTTGCATATTAGACATTCCAACGGGTGTGTCCTGAAATTTGGTATAGATGATTTTGCATTATTAACAGGACTTAAGGTCAGAGGAAATACCAATGATTTCAAATACCCAGAACAAACTAATTGTATGCTTTTTAAAAAGTATTTCCCTGGTGCAGTCAATAGTGTTACAAAGCATCAACTAGTTCAAAGGTTTAAGATGGGTAATTGGGAGAGCAATCAGGATGCACTCCAAATGTCTATACTGTTCTTTATTCATACATTTGTATTAGCTTCTATTGATAACACAGCGATATCTATTGTCGACTTTCTAATGGTTGAAGATGGTAGATATCAACATTTTCCTTGGGGTCAGCTATCATTTTCCAAACTAATTGGTTCACTTAGACAGGATTTTGACGTTAGTAAAAAGTTGTACCGATTATATGGGATGCCATATGCACTAAATGTTTGGATATACGAATGTGCATCCAATTTAAATTCAGAAATAGCTGTGAGAGAACGCAATGTCATCCCAAGAATATGCAATTGGAGAGTTGTGTCTGAAAAGGCAAAGTTTGAAATGCTTATGTCCACCATTTTCCAAAAGGTAAAATTTTATTTTTGTATATGGAATATCGTTATTTATGTCTTTGTGATACATTATGAATTATTACTGTATCTAACAGTTAAATTATCTTATGTGTTTGTGATACATTTAGAATGCATGTTCAAACATTGTCCCAACAGCAGAGGAAATTGAAGCTTTTGATATTGCTCAAGTTGAACATGCTCATTCTACATCAATACCATTAGTACAACCAAACGAGCAAGATGATTTAGATGATTTCTCCACAAAACCGCCAGAACAGCTATTGAGGACATATTCTAGAGTGTCTGATACATCTCCTCCACCACCGTCAAAAAGAATAAAAAAATCGATTATTCAAAAAAAGAAGGTGTCAGAACAGAAACAGCCTGATCAATCAAATGTGTCTCCGACACCGGATGATGATGTACATGTTTCCATGTCAAGTCTGCCTCAACATTCGAATGCTGATGATGTACATGGTTCTGTTCCACAAGTGTCACCGAAATCGGCTGCTGATGTACATGGTTCTGTTCCAGGCGTTTCTCAGAACCCGGCTGCTGATGTTCATGGATATGCAGATTCACAGAATGTCAACAATATAATTCCTCATATTGAAGAGTTGAAAGGATATTTGAAAACTTACGTAAGTAAATTATTTTGTAATTTTTAAACAAACTTTTATTTATCCTAAATGTATCTACAATTTTTAGGTTGAGAAGAAATTTGAGGAATTGATTATTTTGATAAAAGCAAATCACTCCCAGCTGATGCAATCTATTAGCAAAGAGAACATCAATTTTCAGGCTGATACAAGCACATTTCAGTCTGACAAACAAACATCTCAGCAAATACCGGTTGATCTCGATGATATGGGTGGTGTAGCTGAGGATGGTGGTGGTTTTTCTGGTAAAAATGGTGAGCATCATATCGTCGACGATGCAGGGGATGTCGATGTTGATGGTGTTGGTGTTGCCGTAAATGAGGGTGAACCAATAGTCACTGATCCAAAGGTAATGTTCATGATACAGTGGGTATGTTGTGTATCATGCACATATAGTCAATGCTTTGTATCATGATCATTTTTTTTCTCATTTTATATTCTGTCATGTATCATTCATATTTAATCAATACTATGTATCATGTGATTGTTATCAATGTTACGTATCAGCACAAATTATATTAACAGTTTTTATTTCAAAACTGCATATTCAGGATGGTGACGCACATCAGTCGCACCAAGATTTAAATGAACATATCATGGACCAAGCCGTTGACGACAATGTTCATCACAACATCCCTCATGTGTTGCCCGAAAAAACAACAACAGATTCATCGGTACATTTTTCAATTTTGATTTATGACACACAATTTCATTACACACAAATTTATTCTAAAAATCATTACATCATATTATACAGGATTCTTCAACTTCAACAACAATATCGCAATCAACTCAAGCAGCAATAGAAGGGCTTATCAAAGATTTGGGTAAAGATGCTACCAATGCTAGACCATTATATTCTTACGATCCAAAGAATATAACTAGCAGCCAGTACTTGTTGACCGACAGTCAATTACCCACTGAAATTCCAATAACGGGGATTGCTGTTAAAACTGATGCAGTCACTCCTGCGCATAGAAATAGAATGCCTTCGAGAAGGATTCAATCTCCATATTGTACTTCTCTTGGGTCAAGCGAAAAGGGAAAAGAGAAATTGAAAGATATGGCTCGACTCCATTTCCCGTTCGAAGGATGTGGCATTGCAGATAAAGTTTCACCGAAACTGATTGAGGATTACATGAATTGGTTGTTGAGGGGGCTTCTAAAAAATCATAACAATAAGTAAGTTTTATACATTTTTTTTCTCAGTGTTAGGCGTAATCATTTTATATACAACTAATTCATTATACTTTGTTATATAAAAACTGTAAATAATTGAGTGTTATGTATCATGTGGATACATTGAAAACTTAAGTATCATATATGCAGGAACCCATCGGACGATAAATACAGATCAAGATCTTCTTCTTTTGGATTTACGATGATGGACTTTGTTGTTGCTTTTCCAATGTGCAAGAATTGGTTTTATGCCATGTCACAGCCAAACAAGTGTTGGTCTGATGAGGTAAAATATTAAACTATTTATGAAATATGTATCAGTCATAACTATATTATAACGTCATGATACATTATCTATAAGTATCATACTATTTAATTAGCAATGATACATTATGTATAAGTATCATACTATTTAATTTGCAAAAGTATCATACTATATTCACATAATTATATTTCTTTTTTTATATTGTTTAGATGTAAATAATTTCTTACTCTGTTTTCATTTTGTTTATAGCACATCGATGTGATTTTTTACTACCTTCGTAAAAAATCAAAACTTTGCAGCATGGATCAATACAGATACACAACAACCCACTGTTTGTTCATGTCACATGTAAAAAACTGTTATGATAGATATTACATGGACGATGATGATGATAGTCTTACTACACAAGAACATATTGATCGCGCTTCAGTTGTATCTGTACATGAGAGGTCAATAATTAACATCATCAAAGGGTTTGGAATACCAGCTGCTTTACCATGGCATCTTGTAGATGAGGTCTACATCCCAATTAACTGTGATCAACAATTCCATTGGGTGTTGGCTGTTGTTGAGTTGAAAAACAGGTTGATAAGGGTTTTTGACTAATCAATTAGCACAAGGAAACAAACAATTCCTCATGAGATCAAGATGTTGTCTAAAATGCTTCCCTCATACCTACTTGACAGTGGTTTTTTTGAAGAAAATGAACGTACAAATTTTGCTGATTGTCAAGCATATAAAGACAACAATAATGGATCACTTCTGGAGCCTCAAGTTCCTTTCATGATAGAATTTGCACAAGACATCCCTACACAGGAAAGCGATAGCCTGTAAGTATCAAGAATTTTTTCAGTTGTCCTTTTTAATGTATCATTAAGTTTTTAATTTATTCTGTATTTTTTGTAGAGACTGTGGGTTATATGTTACTGCATTTGCCGAGTATATCAGTGACCAAATCAATATATCCTATGCTGATTTTAATCCTGATTACATGCGTCAAAGATATGGAGCATTGCTGTGGAGTTATGGAATTGAGAAGGCTAAGTGCGGATATGTTAGCGACAATGATGATCCACCAAAATCCAGGAGCGTAGTCACACCACCACCAGAAGAAGATTTAGTTCTTATAGCGTAGCATTTCATGATAAAACAACGTTTTAATGTTATATTTATTATTTTTATATGTTATTGAACAACTATTTTTATCCTTTTTAATGTTATTTTTTTGGTTTTGTCAATTTCCATGAATATTTTTATCACATTACCTAACAAATTTGTTTATATTGAAGATATAAATATCAAATGATAGACATAAACATTTTTAAATTTTTAATTAAAAATAGACATAATAAATATACTGACAAAACCAGGTTTAAATCATTTAATAAAGTATAATCAAAGTATTTATAATCAAACATAGACATAAAGATTTTTAAATTTTTTATTTAATCTAGATGATACACTGCCAAAACCAAATGATACATATGTAACAGAAACACACTAAAAATAACTGATACATTGGCCAAACCGTATGTATAATGTACAATATGTTACACTCTAATCCTTAAATTTTACAAGATACTTACGTAAATTGAATAGCATATTCATATGAATTGCTATTATTTTTTTAAAGGAAAGTTATTTACTGTATATTTCAATAAAAGAATATCAAAAAAAGCATTACACAAGTTAAATTATATAAATTCACATGATACATGATTTATAGTCATTCTAAAGTACTCAATAACATTAACAATATATTTGTATTTTTTATCTAATGGAGATGTATTATTGTGCAAACCAATGATACACACTAAAAGTACATGATACTTTATATAAACAATGTGTACAAAAAATACACAATAAATGTACATGATACACTAGATTAACCATATGTATCATGTACATTATGTTATCTTACTGTAGCATAAGATTTATATATTCAAAACAAATATTGACACAAGTATTTTTATCAACACCAATAATAAGAAAGTATTTATAATCATAAGCACGATTTCAAATGTAATTACCACATGTTTGTACGTTTATTTATCTAAACACAAAGTGTTCAATTTGCAGTCGTAATTAAAACTGAAATTCATTTAAATGTTTACGTGATAAATTATTCTTTATATCATAGAAACATTACGAGAAATTCACTTCTCTTTTGGGTAGAAAGTACAAGTTCTTTTGTTGTGCCCTTCTTGTCCACATTGTCCACAACAATTTGTGTTCACCGAAATCTTTTCATCTGCATTCTTTCTTCTTCTTTTTCTTGGTCGTCCAGATGATCTTCTGTATCTAGGTGGATACACAGTTTCAGCTACCACGTGTTTAGGATCTGACCAATCTTTCTTATCTGGCATTGGCACCATTGGAATTTCATATGTTTTTGCCAACGCATCAGGCTTGTAATAATCAGAGCAATACGGATTCATATCGGTGACATTATTTTTTTTCAATACAGCTATTGCATGTGAACAAGGTATCTCATCTAGTTGAAATCTACCACAACAACATACTTTCCGCTCAAAACAAACAATATATCTTCTTCCATTTTCATAAACCGAGAAAATAAACTCAGATGATGGAACAACCTGTGTACATCAAAAATTTTAAATATATAACTTTTAAAAACCAAATCATGTTAAAAAAAGCATAATGATACACAGAATTAGATATATATAATATAAAGTATCATATAATGATACATACCTCCATTTTTGAACTTTTAGCTGCGTTTATAATCAACAATTCCTCAAATTTTCTACCTAATGTGTCCTTTGTGTATGAGGCTACTTCTCTGTTTTTGCAATGCCAAGATCCAAAAAGAATTCTAACCTCTTCCAAGAATTCTAATATAGTTAATTGGCGTGCTTCAACAAGACAACCATTGATACATTCTGCAATGTTTGAAGTCATCATTCTACCTCTGTTTACTGTTGCATGAACTCTTGACCACTTTTCGTAACCTGCATATTCAAGGTACTCCTTAACCCTGTGATCAATTCTATCAACCTTAGCCATCAACTTATCAAAATCTTCCTTTCTATATGCCTTGGCCATAGAGTAGAATAGATCACTTATGGCCTTTCTGCTCCTTTTGAAGTTTCCACATACATTCTTCCAAAGATGCCAGATGCATGCATAATGAGGTACATCGGGGAACACAATCCTTACACTCTTCATGATACTCTCATTTCTATCTGAAACAACACACATATCTTTTCTATCGCCAAATGCATGTTTGAACTGTTCAAAAAACCATTTCCACGAACAATCATTTTCGGTGTCAACAACACCATATGCCAATGGAAATATGCAACCTGATTACACACACATTATATTATTTGATACTTAATATATAAAACGACATCATTACTATAAATAAAAAATACCTGCGCCATCAAGTGTGCTTGCTGATACAAATGTCCCTTTGTAAGCTCCACTCAGATGTGCACCATCCACAACAACTACTGGTCTGCAGTATTTAAATCCCCTAATGAATGGTCTTAAGGCGATAAACAGATACATAAATTCATCCTCTTCCGTCTTATGCATTCTTATATGAGAATCTGGATACACAGTTTTTAACATGTGTATGTATCGCGGCATCCGTCTATATCCAGCAGATGGTTTTCCTCTAATCATGGAGAGTGCACGTTCTTTAGCACGCCATGCTTGCTGATAAGATATTTCAACACCATAATATTCTCTAATATCATCAATTATATCCCTTGGTGTATAAATTCGTTTATAATTGACCAATTTTGGAGCTGTCACTCCACTTACAAATCCCACTGTTGCTTCGACTTTGGTTAATACCCTCTCCCTCATCGGACACGTATGTTCACTATTGAAATTTCTAACAATGAATATATCAGATTTTTTCCTGCACGACGCCTTCATAGTCCAACCACATTTGTCTGAAAAGCATACCAACACATAGCTGCGTACATTTTTTAAGCATATTAATACACATATCAAATACATCATATATAATATATTCAACAATAATGTTTAAATTAATCAAACAATGAATCACACAAAAAGTATCAACCAATTTTTAAGAAAAGTATCAACCAATTTTTAAGAAAAGTATCAAACTTTAATGAAATTTATCCACTATTTGTGATATGACTGTTTAAAATGATACAGTCCTTACTATATCAGTAGTAGTACTTTCAACTATCAAAATACTTATTTCAATGTATCAAAAACAAATTCCTGAAATGATGATACATTAGATTATAAAATAACATATGAAACTTGCAGGTTTTCATATAGAACAGTAATGTTTCATGTACTAATTAAATTATAAAACAACACATGATACATTAAAACATCAAAATACTGTCATACCTTTGTTGATCAGACCTCTTCACTTTGCAGTTGAAGTTGTTCTTTATCTTATATTTCGTCATCACATCTACAAGTGTTGCTTTATCCTTGTATATCTGACCTGTCTTCACATCAACAATATCTGAATTTATTATAACATTTGCAACTCCAACTTCTGAATTTTCATGTGTCTCAAATAAGCTATTTTCAACTATTGCCAAAGCCTGTGTATCATTTGTTGTGCCTTCTACACACGTTATTTCTCCACTTCTTCCATCAAAGTTATGTACAGTACCACTATTCTTCTCAATTGTGTCAATACATAATGGATATATTGAAAATCTAGGCTTTTTTTTTCAGTTCAAAATATAGTTTAACACTCATATCGTTCTTAAGTTTCATCGGACAGGAGTTACCTTCTACAATGTATCGAATTTCAATTTCTTTCCTTGATACATCAATTTCCAACTCGGCCGCAATTGCTGCTTTGAGATTAGAAAACGAAATTGAATCTCCAACAACGATTCCATCAATTTTGTAATTTTCATACTGCAATTCGTTCACCCAAATTCCGGAATGTCTAATCAAAATCGAAGTATTCATCTTCAAAAACCCACTGCAACAACAAAAAAATTTCGGCAACTCCAATTGTTTTCTAAATAACTGATACAATCTTTGATTTTCAAATTATGAAATTAATATCAATTAAGTGCTGATTTAATGCTGATTAATGATCTGTTACCACAATTTAAGCTGTTTTAGTAACAGCTGTAAATTGTCCGTTTTTATCCCCTATTTTTTCTTAACAATTTTAAGTTACTATGTATCATTTACCATGTATCACAACTTTCTAAAGTATCACGGCTCAGCAATTTTAAGGGATTTTTTGTAATTAGTAAACTTGTCGGGACAGAATGTAATTATTGATTTACACTATGGGATTCCTTAAATTTATACTTAAAATAAATGCCGTTGTTATTTTCTCCCTTTTTATTTTATTCTTAGTTTTAAAAGCTTTAAAATTTAAAATGGTGGACAAGATCCAAGAAGAAAAATACCATGGAACCCAAAATCAGGCCAAATATATGGTCCCATATATTTAGTAATTCCAAATTATTTTAATGGAGAAGGGCCTAAATTTCTCTTAAATATGAGACTGTGTATAAAATTACACTTCATCTGTCACATTCGGGGAGCACCCCCTAGAAGTAACATGGCGTACTTGACCTCTCGGAGATCTTAAAAAAATGTCTGTAGCTATCATTCACCGCATTGACACAAGTAAATTTGACGGAAAACTTAAAATTTTTATAGCACATCATATGCTAGAAACATCACATCATATATATATATATATATATATATATATATATATATATATATATATATATATATATATATATATATATATATATATATATGATATAGGTCATAAGAAATATTTAGATTACAAGTCTCTTTGCCATCATAGACTCAACAATATTAGAATACGTTAGGGACATGGCTTTTTAGACATAATACAAAACTATACAATATTTAGTAGACTTTACAATTAGTACACATTAGGACATCCTTGGACTTAAGGATTCCTTTCCTTGATCTTGGGAAATCCCCTATCAAGCTCCTCAATGTGATTAGCACAAAAATGTACTAAGTATGACAACCATGCATTTTGAAAGGGACATTTTCCTTTAAAATCATACATCATGCTTTTTGAGTAAATCTTTATAACACATTTAAACAATATAAATTACATAATTTTCATCGTTCATAGAAACCCAATTAATGCCAAACATCATAGAAAAGCACATATAGAATTTAAGTCCAATTTGAGATCACATTAGAGTGATCTCATTCCTCTTTATAGTGAACTATTTCTTTTCATTCATAAGTCTCCCAAGAAATCCTATAGGGATACTTGGTGCAATGTATCACCTTAGGACCACAAGGAAAATCATATATATCATCTTCACAAGACAATACATAACATCATAGAAATACCACATAGACATAGTTAAGTCAAGACCTTTATCATATAGTCAAAACGATTAACATCATGCATAAAGACTCATATCATGCACATAATCATAACAAGTAGACAAATACTACAATGTCATGCATAAGGAACACATACATAGTGACATGCATTAGAACACCTTCCTAGAACATCCTAGGGAGTTAATTGTGCAATGTATTGATGCGTTCATTGCTTCCACCTATTTTAAGTAACCTCCCTTAAGTCATTCTATTTAGGGCCCTAGTTATTTAACTTTCACTATCAATTTTACTTTAGGAAAAATATAGCCTTAACCGACATAGACCATGTGATGCTAAACATTGAATCTAGAATCATATAACCCCACACCGAAAAGAGTTGTCTAGCGGCCAAAGTTGAACCAAATGTCACATAGCTTTCAATGTGGATCCACTAGCTAGTATCCTATGGTGGCAGCGTAGTTATGGAACTTTGAGGTACATGTGAAAAGCCTCTTTATGCCATTATTAGGCATTGTAGATATTCACTTATGGAAACCCTATTTATGCCCATCGAGGTATTGTAGATATCCACCTGATGAGATATATGGTGACCTACCTTCCTACCATGGAAAGGGACAGACACTAATATTAAAGTCTACTCTGTGCTAAGATAAGTTACCTGCATTGAAAACCATTATTATATATTTTTTGGATAAATCATAGGTTTAGGAGAGGCATCCCCTCATATGCCTAACTCATAGGTCATAGATGGAAGTTCATCAACCTAAATCATGTAAAGAATTCATTCACATGAACATAGAATATGTAAAGCATCATCTAGTTTAGGGTACACATGAATACACCATTCAAGGCCCCTCTCTTCACTAGATCTTCAAACATGTGTGTCTGAATAAATATATGTGAGCAAACCTTTCACATAATACATTATGTCACACAAGTTCAAACACACATATTCATACATATATAAACCAAAAGTAAACTATCCTATCGAAGTACACATGTGCAATGCATAGGAAAATTCCCATACCCTTTACCATAATAGTACACCTACCAAGTCATTCATGTATGTAATACATAACATACTTCATATACATATACTCTACATGCATAATTGTAGACATTAATGAATATGAGAACAACCTTTTAATTAGACACCATGACCTATACTACTTGAAATATGAATGTGTGTGAGTGTTTCTGTACATTGGTAAACATGATCACATAATGACTATCAACAACATATTGAGGAATCCACCCTCTTTGAGCATAATATACCTTCAAGCATAAACCACATAATACACAATAGTATAGAAGACAAGTCAACTTCATATTACACTTAAAACTCCTAACTTGTGCTATTCATGCATTTACATAGGGGAACATAGATAAGGGTTTATTTAATGAATTTTACTAATCAATAGAAGAACCTATTCTCAACCTTAACATGGATATATACATGCTTACACAATAGCCATACGATCTAAATCACAACTAGAATAGGAAAGTAGGCATAAGTTTCACAAAGTATCATCATAAGTACATGCTCATATATTCATCAATTTTCCTTCATGGACATCATCAGCACATATATAATGACAATAAAGTAAACACCAACACCATAAGTGTACCATACCACACAATTCCATACAAGGCGTCATCAACTTCATTATTATACAGAAAGTAGAAGAGATAAGCATTCTTACTAATTTATACCCCTTTGATCATCAATCATCAATACACCTTGTTCATCAACAATTAATATATAGGGAAGTATCTAAATGTACTTTAATCATATAAGAAACCATGTACAAGTCGCTACAAGATCATACTATAGCATAATACAAGGAATCTCACATGTACTAGGAAGTAGAAGAACATATATCATTAATAAAATTCACTTGCATTGATATAGATTATATTTCATTAATGTCATGAGCCTAGGGCAATAGATAATCATACACTTAATCATAAAGAAATCATACTTGAAGCACATTAAGATCAAGCTACAACATAGGCATTAGATTTGTCAATTCGCTAGAGGATAGAGCAATTTGCCAATACTATCAATTCCCTAAGGCTTTGATCATCATTCCTACTGTTCAGAAATACACTCATTATGAAGTAGCTAATTAGATTAGAAATAAAGATGAAATTATGCTTCATCTAATCACAATTCGAGATTCCATCATACACTTAGGTTTTTGACTTCATAGACTAAATGAATGTAGATCAATTCATGAAAGCCTTTCTTAATTTGATCATTAAGGATTTATACCTAATAAATTCATCAATTATATCACCCTAAATACAGTAGATAAAGCAGTTCATACATAGTCAAAACTCTACACAACCAATATCACAATCGACCTCAAGGCAACATGTAGAATCATAGGCTTTTCATGTTCTAATATTCATATATTTATCATCAAAGACTGATAATCATAAATTCACCATAAATTAATGTAAATAAAAATAAACACAAGCAATTTAAAGTAAGAGAATCACCATTTAATCGAGAAAAAGTCATAATCACAAAGCCCATGCAAGAGCTAAACCAATTTTGGAAGGAACATGGGTTTATCATGCAATTTGAGTGAAATCACATTCAAATCACTGTATTAACTTCAATTCATCATGATTTAATCATTGAAACGTTTTGAGAAAGAACCAATAACTACATTGGATGATTGGAAACATGATCAGAAGATTTCTTTGAAAAATATTAACAAGAACTCTCCAAGTGAATGGTTTCTTAAAGATTAAGGATTGGAATACCTTAGATTAGTTGAAAACCTATTAAAATTTATGATTAATCCATGTAAAACCCAGCTTCAAATTGTTTTTGAGTTTCACCAACAATGGTGGTTTCTACAGAGTGTATTTTTGGAGGGAAAGGATTAAAACATGTGGGTAAATTTTAGAATGGGTTGATCACGTTTTTAAGGAATTATATAAAACAAAAATCACATAAATAAACCCTTAATTATCAGCTTAATACATGGGGTGAATTTCCCATTCACCTCTTTATTTGGCAACAAACCTGCGTAAGAGACAGTCGCGCGACGCATTGTCCTTGACGGGGTGTCACAGCCACGACGGGACGTCATACACCTCCGTTGTTGGCTGTAGTTGCTTCCTAAGGTTCCTCCCTTAACCCTTGGCTAATTCCCTCACGATTGGACTCTTTGAAGGGGCATCACATCCATAACAGACCGTTGACTGCTTAGTCGCCAGGGTATGCCTGGGACAGCCTGCACACTGGTTTTTGGTCTTTTTGGGGCCTCTTGTGGGGCCCTTTATAAGTCGTACCCAGAAGTTTCAAAAGTTATTAAGAACCTTAACAAGATATAGACCTTCTACATAAATTTAATCCAAAACAAACACCTATAAGACGTCCAAACCGCCTTGTCTCCAACATGACATATGATGAACATCTTAGGGGCTATCTTTCCAATGCCTTGAATGTTTTTGGGCGTTTGACCTCCAAACTTCACGAAATTTAGTGTTACAACATTAAACATAATTTTAAATCATTTTAAGACTTATTAATATCATTTCATACATATTTATGCATGCATTCATACATGAGGCACAGAAGCGACTAG